AAATTAAATACTTTTAATCAAGTATATGTTGATGGCAATAGTTTTAATATTTTTATGTGTAAATTTGATAAAAATATTTGCAAATGTTATTATTTATTTTTTTGATCAAACCGATATTTCATTAAACTTAAAGAGTTTAACCTTCACTAAGGAAGGATATAACAAAGCCACAAATAGCTAAACAACCCAAAGAAACAATCAACATACTGATTAAGCAAATAGTAAAATTAAAGCAACAAATACTCAAACATAGCCTTGGGGATAAAAGTGAACTCGAAAGTTCAAGCAGAGTAGTAATCGACAAAGGACAAACAAGATCCTTATTGAAATCACTAAGAGACGGAATCAACACCTCCATGGTTATTGTGGACGGTGGATCCTACACAGTTGAATTTGTCAAGGGTTGAAAGGAGAACTGAATCTTCTGAGTATGAATCACAAAGCAAAAGTTGAAGATATGTTTTATTGCTGTTTATGTTAAGCTCTGGTTACAAATGAATCCCTCCCCTTTTTGGGAGATGATAATGAACTATATATAGTACTTCTAAGTAAAATGGGTCAGCTAATAAATGGGTCTGACTTATTAAGCAATATATAACATTTAGGCCCATTAATCTATTAAGCTCATTTTGTTAATGGGTTTAATGTCATTTTGGACCTAGATTCAGACTGGGCCCTTGTAGACTTGCTCCGATTTCGTTAGGATGCTGCCCAGTTGATCTTGTCGTTATATCGATCTCATAGGGGTGAAATCCGACCCCTACAGTTAGCCCCCCAGCTTGGCAGTATCGAGTTAAGATGATGCCGAGGTAAAAGTTGTGGAAGTCAGAGATCGATATGATGGATGGTGAAGTTGCCAGGCGTGGACGTCTTGTCAACGAACTCCGGAAGTTTCTGTTATTCCGCGTTGAGCCGATGTTAGCGTGTTTTCCTGGACTTGTTTTCTTTTTTTTTTTTACTTAGAAGCCTGACAAAACTGATGCTCTTGTTGCGTTAGTGGGCTTTGAAACCCGTTCCAGAGACTAAGTGATTTTAGAAAATCCTCCAGGTATAAACCCGTTCTTGTTGAGTTATTTTCTTTTTCACTAATTCACTTCCTCTTCTGAACAGAAGGTAAAAAGTAATATCGCCTCA